TTTTTTTAAGAAACAGGCAGGGGAAGGTCATGGAGCCTTGTCGCCGAGCAGGGAAGTCGTCGTCCTCCCGCCCAGGCCCCCTCAGAAAACTACTCCGTGCCGTCATCCGGCACTTCGCGGAGAGGCGACCCGGGGCCAGACATATTAAATACATACTTTGTTAGACCGCTTATATAAGACTTGGTTTATTTAAAGTTGGAACAAAATGGAGGAAGAGGGTGAAGAGGAAACTCGCCCGGCCTGACTGACGGGTGCCTTCAGCCACACGCGTGAAAATACCACAGTGCCACAAAAGTTACCCACGGCTCCGTCTCCCCCCCCAAAACGGCCGGGCCCCCCCGGCCGCGGCGGCAGCGCGCCCCACGGCCTCGCCCCCGCAGCCCCCCGGGCCCAGGTGAGGGCCAGGCGTGGCACCCACGCCCCGCGGCCAGCCGCACACCTGCCGCAAACCCCGGGCGCGCCGGCCCCGCGTCAGCACAGCGGTCCCAAATATTCGTCCTCCGAAAGACGCGAAGAAGAGGATGTCTTGCAACAGGACTCTAAATCACCAGGAAGAAAAGTGCGTGAATGACAAAATGTTTCTCGTGCACGAATCCCAGCGTTTCTCCGTTTTTAAATCCCTTGCTCCTTTAACACGTCATCAGATTCCTGGGCCTTTCTACAGTGGCTTTGCCTATTTATAAATTCGGGGGGGGGGGGGGGGAAATGTGGGGCAGCACTTTCTTTTTGTTCTTATTTAAATCATCGGTAGTATTGCAGCAGGATTGTCAGCTGCTGTATTATCAACCAAATTGCTTCAGAAAAAAAAAGAATTATAAAAAGAATTTCTTTAAAGGGACACTTCTCAAGGCTGGTAGAGCTAAAATTAGACTTGCCAGCTGTGTTTTGGTTTGTGGGCACGTGCTTGCACATGACAGGAACATGGAAATATCACGCTTTACTCTGGCAGTTTGCTGTTCTCGTAAGCAGAGGCTGTTGTTACGGATTCCTATAACTGCCCCATAGCCAGTTAGTTCACAGGCAAAAGAAAGCGGCTGAAGGAAACGGGCAGCGTGGGAAGGCGTACGCGCGCTCAAAATACTGCCTATGTATCTGTGTAGTATGCACAGATACACTGTGCTTTCATCACCAGGCAGTAGTAATTATTCATTATTGGTATTTAGGTACCAGTCGTGTGCCATACAGTGGGAACAACACGCCGCGCTTGCACAGGTATTTGCCGCCCATTTCAGGAGAAAAACTTTGGCAAAACGAGCGCTCTGTTCCCAGAGCACTGCACAGGCATTAACCGGTCGCTCTTGCCCATCCAGAGGAGCCCCATGGAGCACCACCGCTGCGCCAGCTTCCAAACCTGCCTAAGCCAGGTTGGGTAAACTATTGAGTCTTTTCAATTCCTACTGAAGTCCAAGCTGGCCAGGACTGCACAGTCCCTCGGAAGCTCAGAGCAGAGGTGAATGAAGAAGAAAGACGGGCATGGGAGGAGAAGCCTGCAATTCCCAGCTCCCAGCCCTATGGTTTACATTGCTGCTCAGCTTTAAATACGCTGCCTCTCATGGTAGCGCATGATACTCTTGCTTACGCTTTTTCTTCTCCCCCCCTGCTTTCCCCGAGGGTGAAATAGACTGTTTGAGGGTTGGTATCTGCAGAAGTGAATAGTGATTACTTGACGGTACGTGATACTTTGAGCCTGACAACTTTCAGATTGTTCTTTCAACTGCCAGAATTAAGTTGTTGTGCTTCTCTCCCCACCTTCTCACTTTTCCCTCAGGATATTAACGCAGTTTTTCTTGCTAAGCAGTTTGCTTGTAGAAGTGGATGTAACCAGAGTTGGGGGAAGAAAGAACCTATGTGTAGAGGGTGAAATAAAAAAGAAATACTAAGAAAGTAGAAAAACACGCATTCTGACCAAGAGATCTATCTGAACATGCAAGGTTTGCTGTGGCCGTTATTTTAAGTCCAGGAAGGACCACTTTGGCTATGCCACCTGACCACTGTGAGTATTTCACGTCACGGCATAAAATTTCAACACAAGACTTCCACACACCCCCATCAGACGCACGGGCCAGTAGCACCAGCAGTTCTCGCCAGTAGGAAAAGGTCAGGAGCTGCAGGAGAAGCCGGGCTGCTACCTGCGTGGGTAACAGCTCCACCTTCCTCCTGCTCTCTCCCAGCAAAAGTCTTACATATGCAGATGGTCTGGATTTCCCTTTTCAGCTATAATCCTGACGAGGGGCTGAGCAGTCTCTGCCGTTTGTTCCGAGTGCTCAGCACCTTGCATGATTGAGCCTTCAGAGATGGAAGATAGAGCAGAGGCAGCAAAAATAGGAATTCAATATAAAAGAGTGGGGGGCCAAGGGGAGAAAACGGGAGGCAATATAGCATAGCAAAAATGCAAATGAACAGCCACAAAAGCAGATTTAGATAGCACACAGCCTCTGAACAAATGCTAGTGCTGGAAAATGGAAAATTTCCATTTGCAAAATACAGACATCAAAAAGATCATCTGTGACTCGGGAGCACACTGTTTAAATAGAATCCCCTTCATTTTCTGGCCTGTGCATTTGAATAACCGAATCCACTTGCAAACTGAAATAGCAGTTTGCCTACCGAGTGTTAAGTATAAATGTTCCTCAAAAGAAAAGACAAGCTGTTCGATCCCAGTGAGCAACAGCGAGCAAACTTCACAACTTTTTTTCCTCCTATTGGAGGCTCATTATCAAGCCCAAGCCAGGCCCACTCGCGAGAATCCAGCGAGGCAGCCAAGTCCCAGTGCACCTGCAAAGGCGCTGCTGCTGCTGGTGTCACCGACCTGGGGGGAGATTCACCAGACAGCCGAGCAACAAGGATCTCTGCAATGGGAAATCTAGAAATGAAATAAAATAAATGGGAACAGATCAACTGTAAACCAGACAGCCAAATACATTCGAAGGCAGGCGCCAAACGATATTAACTCGGCAACAACCAAAGCCGTGGATAAGAAACCCAGAGTTAACTGACAGGAGAAAAAAAAGAGAATGCTTCTCCCAGCAGCCTGAAGTACAGAAATTACGTCTCTTTGGATGTATTTTTACCTTTCATAAAACACGGATTTCTTCATTCACATAAAGTGAGTTAAAAGAAAAAAGCTGACAGCTAGTAGAAGAACATAATTCAGGGGGTCTCATTTGCTAAAATACAACTGTACTTACACTTCTGTTTGGTTGGTTTTTTGGATTTTTTTGACTAAGCTTTTTACCTATCCTATGAAAATCTTCTAAAGACATGGGTGTCAGAATCAGGGAGCAATTCAAGCATTTTCTAGCTCCTTCCTCTTGAAAAGCAGCAATACATATTCTAGAAGTATTAACTTTTGACAAAATTATGTCAAAATTGTCTAAGTCAGGACTAGGGAAAATTTGCTTGTTGAGCAGCAGAAATACAGCTACCACCACCTAAAGCAATATAATAGGTTAAAGAAAAAAAAAGAACAACAATTATCTTGGGCTTACATTTTTGACACTGTCTCTCTGCTTTTATTCTCTCTATTTACTCATTAAAGCTATTTCAAAGGAGGCCATAGTGATGCTTGACAGCTTGTTTACAATGGGTTACAAGAAGAATACTGATTTTATATCTAGATCTGTCAGCTCCTTCAGTCCAGGTACCTTAAAACCCTATTGATGGACACAGAGACTTGCTATTTAATAGTTCATTTATCAAGCTGATTTGCCTAAGGATAGCTAACTGAATTTCTAACAAGGGATATATCCTGGTGCAACCATCAGTAAAACATGTGATAACCGTGGAGGAGGTGGGGAAAAAAAGACACAGAGGAACGAAATACTTAGCTTAACGACGACAGCTGTAAGTGTCTGGGATGGACAAAATCTCTCTGAGGTGGGGGATGCCACCTTTTTCAGACGTCCTCCTCTCACAAGAGACCAAACACCCCTGAGAGTGGCTTTCCCCACACACTCACACCTCCCCCACCTGCGTGAAAAATCAGCCAGGTTTGC